TATAAATTGCTTATAATCCTGATACAGCACTACATACTTCAAGCACTATGCAATCTTCTTCACAACAGTTGTATATATTCCATTCTGCTCTCATGAAGCAGTGTACTCTACACTGAGGTGGTTCTTCCATTCATCTATTTATTTATTTATTATTTTTTTATTTTTTTTGTCTCTTTACTCGAGGCAAGGTATGAGATATTGGTGCGGTTCAATTAGAAAGCCGTTGCTCTGTATATAGCAAGAGCTCGGTTATTTGATTGAGCCGTGCCAATATCACTTACTATTGTGATATGCACCTTCATATCCATTCTCTACTCTTTGGAAAAGATGACGAAAAAATTAACAGGTAAGCGAAAAGTCGAAAGCATTATAGTAGAATAGATTACTCTTATACCAAGCTATGCATACTAAATGTCTCTAACTGTTGTTTTATTTACTCAATTTATTTCAAGGGATTAGTTTCAATGGTGATTCAAGAAATCTTTATGTTAGAATTTGTCACGTTGCATTTACTTACCTCTACCTAAAAGTTTTCCTACTTTCTTGAATAAGTGTGGGGGTAGCCGGTAGGTGCAAGAGTCCCATCGTTTTTTTCTAGCCCGTCATTAATGCCATTTCCAAAGAGCAGATAAGTGTTTCCATGTTAGAACAATTACTATTAAGAAATTTCATAAAAAAAAGAGTTGAGTGTGTTGTAAATTACTAAATGAACTCTGCAGATGATTTAGACAGGCTTCTTATTCACTAACGAAGCATTCTTCACTAATCCATCATCGTATATTTTTTGTCTGTTTTTATTTGATTGATTTTATGGAACATCATATATGGAGACTAGAAATTTTAAATGAAGCATGATAATTAATAAAATTTCAAGAACGTACCGTATTTCCCAGCCCTTCTCCGCGGGCATACGACGTTAGTGGAAGACTTGGCGCATGGTGTATAGAAGCTTGAAGCTCCACTTCATCATCAACATCGTCTCCCGAATCAATCTCGACCGATTCCAACATTGCTGCAAAAAAATGTACAATAAAGTGGTGAGGCATAATGACAAAACATTTCGTAGATTGTCATTAAACTTTAATTTTTTCTTCTCTCCAATTCTTCATAGATTTCAGCAACAAAGCAGTGATAGTTTGAAATTGACTACTTAATCTTTGTATACTAATGTAGCAGCATCATAACTTTATATGCTTGAAAGCAAATTCTCGGCATAGAAGATCATAGCATTCAACAGCATTTGCATCGACCGAACACTTCAGCATTTTGGTCGAGCTTTTTTACCTCGAAATTTACGAAAAGATAACTACATAACTGAAAATCGATGCTAATTTAAACCCGATGGAAGATCGATGCTAATGACAAAAACCGTAGCAGCATCATAACTCTATCCGCTGAAAGCAAATCCTCTGCCCGAGAAAGATCATATAGCATTCAACAGCATTCGCATCGACCGAACATTTTCAGCGTTTCGTCGAGCTTTTTAACCTAGAATTTTACGAAAAAGATAACTAAATAATCG